GCTTCATAGCAGGCACAGCTGTAGTAGTAGCTGTAGCAGGTCATAAGCAGTTGTATGGCTTTGTATAGCTGTTTTATGGCCATTGTATGGCTTTTCTAGTTGCTTTATAGGAGAAGAATGCTTTCTAGCTATAGAGTCGTTGTATGGCTTTCCTCGTATGCTATGGGAGTTGTCTGACTTTCATAGCACAAGTAGTAGTAGGGATAGGTAGCTACAAGTAGTGCTTGAATGGAAAGAGTTGCTTTAGTTGTTCTTTCAAGAAGGAGTGCTTGAAACAAAGCTACCCCTTATTAAGGCAAGAGTGCTTGAAGAGAGAGCTACCCAAAGGAGGAGCTGTATATGCAAGGTCTAAGCCTTACATATAAGTCTTTGTCTTCTAGGTACCTCCTCCCCTATTATTCTTCCGCTGTAACAGCTGCCTCGCTAGTGAAGGGTCTTCCAAGCCCTGAGCAAGTTGAGTGCTTAGCACTGCATTAGTAGCACCACTTGTACCACTTGCATAGCATATCGGTAGTAGCTACAGGACAAAGAGCTAACTCAAGAACGAACTAGACAAGAAAAGTCCTTTAAAAAGGTAGAGCTACAAGAAAACATGTACCGAGCTAACCATCTAATCTAAGCAATAGCATCTCAACTCAAGGAATAGCTTTCCCAACAGAGGAAAGAGTATCTATCTACTCAAAAGGTAGTAGACAAAAAGAGTACATCTACTAACGAGGAGCTACAAAGAACATCTTAAGAGGTAGCCAACTAATTCATGGAGTAGCAACTAAGTAGCTACAAGAAGCAAGAGGTACAAAAGGAGTGCACTGCTTTCTTTCTGTGCAGTAGCATTAGAAGTGGTAGGGCTGGTTTCTCCCTTCCTTTCATAGCGGTAGTTCTACAAAACGAGATAGCTACAAAAGAGTATACCTAAAGGTAGAGTTACTCCATCTCAGGAGTAGACATCACAAGACAAAGCTGTCTAAAGAGCAGCACATTTAGACAGAGCTAGACAAGACTACACCTAAAGCAAGAGCTAACTAAGCCAAGAAGAAAACCTCAAGAAAGAGGAGCAAACTATCTAACATCTAACTAAAGAGTTGCATAGAAGGAGAGAGCGGACCACAAGATAGAGCGCTATAAGCTTCTTCCAGGCCTCGCAATGATCTTTTTTTGAGAGTTTCCCTATTTGCATGATAGACAGGCAACCAATCCCAGAACAGCAGAAATAGTAGCCCACTAAGGCAAGGGGTGTCTTTGATAGGAACGCTTTGGTGTCGATTATCAACACCTTATTTCGAGTATCAACCACTAGCAAATAGTTGTTTTGAGAAGGTTACCTTGTGAGTTCTTGCTTCTTGAAAGTAGCTACCTCCTCTCAAATGCGATAGGTAGTAGCAGTAGTTGTTCTCTTCTCTCTGGCATAGGCAACTCACTCAATACAGAACTACAGAGCCAACTCAACATATAGAGCTACAAGTACACCTGAAGAACGAGCTAACTAAGCAAGGAGTAGCATCGTAACTATCCCCATCTCAATCAAGAGTAGCACCTTTCCCATCTAAAGAGTCTCATCTAATATCTAATGGTAGAGTCAGACCACAAGATAGAGCAATAAGAGCAGTGAGTGCGTAATAAGTAAAAACAGTGGCGAGCGCGTTTTATAGGGGTAGCGAGTCAGTCTCAAAAGAAAGCTATCACTAGTTCCATTGCCTATACTTTATAAGTATCTAAGAGTCTAGGATTTGCTAGTATCATCTATACTATCAGACCGAAAAAAGTACAAGTATACTATAATAGATGATACTCTACTTATTATCTATACTACTTTACACTTAAAAAAGACAATTAGACTAATAAAAAACAGAGGCTTCAACTGCCCGCAGAGGCAGGCCCTTAAAGCCTTGAAGATGGAGGAGGAGCAAGCAGAGCCACAGATGGGGGCCTTGCAACAGCTCAATGCCATTAGGGCAAAGGACAAGCCCACAGCAAGGAAGCTGATGTACGTCGTCTCGATGGCCAACAACAGACGGGATGTGGTGGCCTTGGTTGACACAAGGGCCACCCACAACTTTGTAGCTGAAAGGATGGTAAAGAGGCTGGGCCTCAAGCTCGGAACGGCGAGATTCAGGCCCGAGGCTAAGCCCATTGCTGGGATAGCAAAGGCGGCAAGTGTCAAGTTGGTTCGGGAAGACTCCATTGTAGTGTCCGATTGGATACTGGTACTTCCATTCAAATCAGAGTAATCGAAATTGATGGGGTCCTTGGATCCTTTATTTTTCTTTGAATCTTTTCCATTTTGATTTCTACACGTCTTTTTTTAAGGGGGTCTACATCCATTATGTAGCATGGGAGTTATGTCACATACAAAACTTAATAGTACACCACTTCTGCAAATGGCTTGTAATGTTGCATCTCTTCCGAGACCAAGGCCCTTTATCATAACTTCTGCTCGTTGCATACCCTGATCCACTACCGTACGAATAGCATTTGTTGTTGCGGTTTGAGCAGCAAACGGTGTTCGTCTTCTTGTGCCTCTGAATCCACAGGTACCCGTAGAGCACCAAGAAACCACCTGCCCACGTACATTTATAACAGTCACAATGGTATTATTGAAACCCGCTTGAACATGAAGAACTCCTTTAGGTATTCTACGTCTATTCTACGTGAACCAATACGTCCATTCCTACACGAACTAATTCTTGGTATAGGTTTTTTCCTCTTTCATTATCTAATAAAGATGAGTCAAAGATATACAGATAAATCCATTTCATGTCAAAAATAGATCCTTTATTTGTTGGGCACCCTGTGAAGTCCTCTTTTAGAGATAGAAAAATTACCCCTGTCTCTGTTTATGTCTCTGATTGGAACAAATTACTATAATTCGTCCTCGCCTACGAATCAGTCGACATTTTTACAAATCTTACGAACAGAGGCCCTTATTTTCATATTTGTCGCTCCTACTTAATTGAATTCTGAATTTCTTCCAAGGAAGAAAATAAGAAGTTTCTTGAACTTTTGAGCCTCGATATCCTTATGGAATAAATGAAAGGAATTTTTCAGAAGCCGTGTATTCATTCGATCTTTGTTGTTTGCGAAGCCTATAAATAATACGTCCCTTGGTTGAATCATAACGACTTACTTCAATTTTCACTCTATCGCCTGGTAATATCCGTATAACACTACGTCGGATCCTTCTTGAAACATAACCTATAACCAGGTCTCCATTATCTAAGCGAACTTGGAACATGCCATTGGGAAGTGATTCAATAATTAAACCTTTCATGAATTAATTTTTGTTCTTTCATTCTCGGTAACCCCCTTCCTTGAAGTATCAACTAATAGAGGATAAGTGGTATTAGCCAACTTGTCTCTCCTCTCTTTTTCATAAAAGAAATAGGAAGTTAAGGATAAAATTCATATACCATAAGGGTTCACCATATATAACATAAAATCTCTCCTCCAATTCCTTCTCGCCGAGCATCTCAAACTGTCATTATACCTCGAGAAGTAGAAAGAATTACAACCCCCATTCCACCTGAAATCCTAGGAATTCGTTGATAGTTGGAATAGATTCGTAGATCGGATCTGCTTATAAGTTTAAAAGTCTTTCTATATGTCCCTTTCCTATTCCTTCTATGTCGCAGGGTTAAAACCAGGAAAGATTTGTTGTTTTCCCAATGTTTCCTAACGTTTTCAATAAAACCTTCTCGTAGAATTATTTTAACTATGTTTTCAGTTATATTGGTAGAGATGCTATTTGAACCCTTCTTGTTTTTTCCATGTCGGCATTTCTTATACAAGTTATTTTATTGCCATTTACTGCATCAAAAGGTCCTCATAACATACATAAATGATTCCTAAAAGGTAAACTACATGACGCCACAATATTTAAACATGTTAAGCTTTAGTTTCTTGGTTAAGATGTAATCATTAACCACAGAAATATTGACTCCTCAAACAAGCTCTTGAGTTAATTCAAATCATCCCCCAATGATGAAATGGAATTGAAGCTATGATCTTTATTCCACAGCTTCATACTCTATTGCTTTTAGCAATGTTAGATATTCACATGCACCCTAGTTACAAGCTGCTTCCAAACTTCATTTGAACATCAACCATTATTAAAGATGAACTTAAATAACCACGAAAGTTGACCATTACCTCAAAAAAACATAAATAACCACACACAATAAAATACTCTATCAATATCAAGCTCTTTACATAAGCTAAAACTCAACTAAGATCAAATCTATGCAGAAAACCACTCCTTGAATTAAAATCTTTCGCCCATATCAAATTTAAAAATGATAATTGAGAGATGTGAATGCAAGTTATCAGAGAGAGAGAGAGAGAGAGAGATGACCATACATTTATACATTTGCATATCTTTTTTCAATTTTCCTGTAGCTGGAACCCAGAAACCTAATGCATAGGGATCCACAGATGCCTATGCTCGATGTGTGAAAACTACCTTTCCACTTATGAAAACCCAGTAGTATACATTTGAATTTTCAATATGCAAGGCGATTGCAGACACAAGGATCATATATCATGTGGACAAACTGCATTAGAAGTTGATGAGATTCATAATCCTCAATTAAGAATACTGAAAAGCTACTTTGATGAACTAATATCAATACAAGCTTCTCGTCTAAGTGGAATAGACAGAGATCACTAGGTCATAAATCAAACAGATGAGTCAACCATCCTGCTGATTGATATAATGAGCTCCCCGTGCAAATTTTTGAAGAATTAGTTTGTTTGCTATGCACGAATAACTGTCTTTAATCAAGCATTTGTTCCACTACCGCTTTAAAAATACAGTTTTCACCTCCACATATTGGACCATAAATCTAGACAGACATATATGAATAAGATCTAGAACAAAAAAGTGGAAAAGGAAAGACCAGGAGAAACAAATCACTGATCAAAAACAAAAACACTCTGAGCAATCAGCATATAAACAAGAATAATTTCCCTTAAACTGGAGGTTAAACAAAATCCAGCGAACTCACCAAAGCCATTTCTTATAATCGGCGATGAAGCCACAAATTGATCAACTGAAAATACAAAGAACGTACACGATATTAGTTTAACCAAACCAGATAAATGTAATTTGTGGATATTACAAATTCATCACAAAGGCTCAAGGAGAGAGAGAGACAACGCATCAGATCCAGAGAGCATAAATTTTTTGGTAACAAATTTAAAATTTATCTTAGAGAGAAAGGAAAAGGAGGAAGAGAAATATGCATACTTGAGGATTGTGAGATTGACGAAGCCCGAGAGACAGATCCACGACAGAGAGGTGATATTAAACCGCTGAAACGAGGTGAAACCTTCAAAATGCCCGCCTTTCTTTGGAAATAGCGAGTTTATTCTCCACCTATAATAGGCATAGGGAGGAACAGGAATGACGAGGGATTGAAGGAGGAGAAAGGGATTTGTTTAGCTTAATGGAAAAAAAACTTCCTTCCTAAATTTTGTTTACACCTTTTTTTTTCAATTTCAGCTTTTTTTTTGGCCAAAATTACTTTGATGGTAGTCGTACTACCATACTACATGTCATATTTTATACGGTATTTAAAATATCATAATAATTTGAAGTAATATTACGGTACTTTAAGACCGTAAAAATCTAACCATGTTATATGGTATTTTTATTTCCGTAAGAAGTTGAATTTGTATTACGGCACTCAAAATGCCGTAATACTATTGATTCTTTTATACCCTAACCCGAGAGCATCTTCTCCTTTACAACTCTATTTCTACTGTTTTAGGGCTCTATTCTTCCTCTCCACTTCAACATTTCTGGCGCTCAATCTCTCACAGGGTCTCTCTCTCCCTCATTTCCGTCACCTCGTCAGATCTTTGAGGTAAGTAATCTTTCCCCAATTTTATGTTTTTGAGTATTTTACAGTATTTCAACCAATTTAGGATAAATACATCATGTATTGCTAATTTTAGATTTATTTATCTCCCTTTCCTGGTTTATTATGGGATTTGGCGCTCTGTCTCTATACAATGTTCACATGAAATGGTAAATTGACATGAATCTTCATGATTGATTTTTTTTTATTATTATCTTGTTCGCAAAATTAATGATATCTAAAGAAATATGGCTGACAATAGCCGCAATAGTATTATGTACAATAGTCACGATAGTTCTTCTATTTTGATATTTAAGAGAGTAAAATCCCTTCTTTTTTTTTTAGTAAAATCATAATTATTTCAAGATGCTCTCAGTTTGTGATTGTGTGTCAGAGAGAGAGAGAGATATATAGAGAGAATTATCTATTGTTTTTTAGCTTGTTTTGAAATGGGATTTTGGTATTGGCATTGTTGAAATAAATGCTCTTTACTATTTTGGGTTGATATGGCTTTGATTACGAGTTAAAAATAAGCATGAAATTACTCCACTTTGAAATTTCTTGTTTATTCAATTATTCTTAAGTAGTAATCATGCTCATAAAATCAGGATGCTCTTATATCAATAACATTTTTGCAGCAAATCTACGATTTCTTTATCATGACAAATCTTCATAATTATCCATGAAAATACATATAAAAGTGATTTCTTGTTTGCCTTGTTAGTTAAACTTTGTTCCCCAATTATGATTGAATGTAGTTAAACGATGTGTTCCAATTATGATTGAATAGGCTTCTGTAGTTTCTTTTACTGATTGTTCTTTTACTTTGTCAAGTGTCTGATAGACCAGTCGTAATTTACTTACTATGAGTTTGTTGTTTATGATGGTCTTTTGAACATGGATCATGGCAGAAGACACACCCTGCCATAGAGGTCATGAGATTCCTACATTGCTCAATAGACAAAGAGAGCATAAATCACAAAAGATATGGGAAGGAGATGTATGTACAATTGTTTCAAATTATATTTTTTATCTATCATGTTGGTTAATCAATTTATTTATTTTAATATTTGAAATCACAAATTTCATTTCAATATCGGGAAAATCCCCTCAGGTTAATGAGAAGGCCAATGCAACTTCTTTATGGCTTTTAACAAATATTGATCAAATCGATTTGGTCTGGAGATCGGGATTGTATCATCTAACCATAGTACAGATGACTCACCACGACCGTGGCACATTGTCTACTATATTCAAGAGGTGGCATGTAGAGACGAATACCGAGCACTTCAATGTCAACGTCGAAGAGATGACGCCTACTCTTGAAGACGTATGGAAAATTCTCCGGTTAAGGGTGACCGGTGTAGTTGTAAATCTTAGGAGAATGGAGAAATATGATGATTGTATAAGCCGCATGCTAGGACAAGTGCCACCTGGTGGTAACCATTTTATTGTCCAACTAACATGGTTGAGGAACACTTTTAAACAGCTACCACAAAACTATAACTGCATCACCCTTTTACAACACACCCGTGCCTACCTCCTATATCTAGTCAGCCGCACAATCTTTGCGAATTCTGTAGATGGTATATTTACAGCTTTTGAGAATACGGAAGTAGCTGGTCAGTATGCATGGGGTGCAATTGCCTTAGCCTTTTTGTTTTGAGGCTTGTTAAAAGTTGTTCATCTTGGTTATCAACACCTAAGGGAATCAACCACTCTTTTATTGGTAATGTTAGTATATTTAAAGTGGTGATAGTTTTTTTAAAATTTGACAGATATTTTTTGTTGTAATTCTCATTTTTTATACATGTATTTCAGTGCTGGGCGTACGAGCATTTCAAATTATTGCACCAAATTCCCAAAGAAATATGGGCATGCAACCTAGATCCCTTAGGTGGGCCCCTCCTAAAAAATAGGATAACTCTCATAACTTCTGTCTCGTGAGGCGACAGAAGACCAATAACACGTGGATAAATGATGTTAGTATATAATAGGTATTATTGATTTTGTTTATTTATATTTTAACTAGTTTTTTGTGCAAATTATTTAATTTCAAATTTGTATTTTTTTTATCATAGGTCATGTGGACCTCATACGATGATTATTCTGACCTAGGAGAGGAAACTAAAGAGGACAGAGATTACGGCATTGCTGTTCATCAGACTGTTTTGTGTCGCACATACCTCATATGTGGACACATTTGTGAGGGGTACATGCCAGATCGTGTACTCCAGTAGTTTGAACAATATTTGAAAAGGCAGATGTAACAATCCTAAAATTTCAAAAAAAAAAAAAAGGAGAAAAGATGCTTTTAAATAGGTGATGGTCTGATTGAGTATGATGGTCCTTGGGGACCATCACTATTTTCAAAACTTTTTACTTGGTTTAAACTTTTGCTGCTGCTTTTGTTTGCAGCCTTTGCAGTTGCTGCTTGCAGCTGGCAACGTCCTTTAGCGGACGTGGTTTTCGTATGTTAAAAGCAGACGCTTAACGTGACACCTCAGGTATGAGGTAGAGCGTAATAAAATATTATAATAATACGTTATAAGAATTTAAATAGGGGAGGTGAGTACTCCCACCCTGAAAAATTTTGAGATCTCTCTCTCTCTCTGGTCGAAACACAGTGAACTCCTCTCTCGAACCGAATTTTTATCGAAAGCTCCCTCTCAAATATTTATGTGTAAGTGACATCGTCTTCCTGAAAAATAGTCTGTTTTTAATAAATAGTGATATTTCCGTCCAGGATCTTTATTATATAAGTTTTGTGTGTAAGTGACCCCATTGTCTCGAAAAATAATCCATTCTTTTTAAAAATGAAATGAAATAATTATTTCTGCTTATTATCATGAATTTTAGGTGCGATAAATTTTATGCGCACACGACCTCATTATCTTGAAAAATAATCTTTTTAATAAAAATTGTGATATTTTATCTATGTTAGAAATTTTAAATGCTGTAAATTCTTAGAAAAATAAATTTATTTATTTTTCTTGGCTATTGTTGGAAAATTTTAGATACTATCAAATTATTAGAAATAAATGTGATATTTCTGCTTTTAGTAAAATTGTGATATTTCTTTCTACTGTTTTGAATATTTAGACATTGTAAAATTCATGTGCAAATGCCTGCCTTATTATTTAAAAATTGACATTGTTGCAATTGATTATAGTATTGTTGTGAAATGTTTATTTGTGGATTGATATCCCATAAATTGTGATAATTCTGTATTCTTGAATTTCTATAAGAGTTTTTCTATAAGAGTTTTTCTATACATATTAAATTGGCAATTATACTAGAATGCCTTTACAAACTGCTACCTTTCTAAATTTGAGCCTAAAATATTTGATTGGTTAGTTTTGAAATGTTATAGAGAGTGACTGTTATTAATGGTTTAAGTGAAATTCATATTAATGATTTCAGTGATATGTTGAGTACATGATATTGCTGCTTTCGAATGTTTAAAGAGATTTAGAAATAATTTAAGTATGCAAGTGGACTCATCCGGTTAGCCCGTGAGGTATAAGTGGACCTATCTGGGACGCCGGTAGGAATTAAGTGGACTCATCCGGTACGCCTGTGAGGTATAAGTGGACCTGCAGGGATTAAGTGGACCTATTTGGGACGCCGATAGGGATTAAGTGGACCCATCAGGACACTGAT